TACAAGCATGGCGCGCAGTGCACACAGACGCGCCCGCTAATAGCCTCATCTAGCGAACCGTGAGGAAAAAGAAGAAAAAAGAAAAGGGGCAGAGGGAAAAAAGAAAGGAGACCACAACCCCGATGGTTGCAGAAAAATTAAGGAAACGTTTATACACTCTCTGTATCGCGACGCGTGAATTCGTGCTCGAATTCGTTCCGCTCGCAGGCTTAATACGTTTGCCAACGGCGTTGCGTACAGTCCTCGCCATAAATAATCGTAAAGTTCGTTGCAGATGAAACGAACGATTATTCTAACGAATGATCCAACGTCTGCAACTTGTTCCTGAAAGTACGGGCATACGAGAGATTTGCGGCTCGAGAGTCGAAATCGTGCAAGAGCGCGCGAGAAATGCGACAGAATTACAGAGTCGTGTGAACGTCGGCGCTCTAACAAGGGATGATTTGAAAGATATATGCGATAACATGTATTTCGATTGAAGTTTTTTTTATAAATCTCGAGCTAATTGTAGTTAAAAGAATTTAGAAGTATTTCTTCCTCCTTGGCGTTTCAAGTATTTCAGCGAGGTTGAACAATCGAAGTTAATCTCTTTTCAACTAATCACACAGCTACAACCCCGCTGTCGATGAATGTTTGTCGCGATTGTATATTCCAAAGGTAATGAGAAAGTTTTTTTTAGCAAAATGTCAAGCTCTCGTATGCCGGTCATCCACGGCTCGGTGATTTGCTGTTAAATATTAAGCGCGTAAGGAGCACGTTTCCAGAGGGGGATTTTTAATAAAAGTACATTCTGCCGGGAAAAAAATGTTCCTTCTGCACTTTTTTTTTTTTTTTTATTGCGACGAAACGCAGGCGCGTAACGCGCACGACTCGTTGAATTACCTTGAAAACTTGTCAGCATGTGCCGCGCATGTTCCCGCGATTTCACAGTTAAATACGCGGAACGAAAGAAAAATGCGATTTACGTCGATCGTAGGATGATACATCGATCGTATCACGATGCTGATGTTGCTGCGAACATCGATTATTGCACAGAGAAGACGAAATTAAACGTGATTTGGAACATTGTGCACGGTAATCGTTGATCGACTCGATGAATTTCTACGAAGTTGAAGAGTCATTCGAGAATATATAAATTTTCAAATATCAAATCACTGCGCAGTTACTCGCTACTAAATGATAGTAATCATCGCTTCGTTAACTTGACGAATTCTATGAATTTATGAATTCACAAAGTTGTTCGAGAATACGTGGACTTTGACAGATTGTCAAGATTCTCAAGATATATCGTCAAATTGTCAAATTGCTGCTAATTGATCAAGAACTGTATGTGAAATTATTCACACGAACGTATGAAATAGAGAGAATATAATAGAATATAAGTTTACAGAGAGCAGAGAGAGAGAGAAGAAGACAATGTTCTGTCCAAAGGAAACAGAAAATCTAAAGATATTCCTAGCTAAAAATCGCGTCTGGCGAAAATTAAAAATTTCATTTTCTTGGAGACAAAGCCCTTTCCACGAAAGGAACTTGGCTCTACGTTTTCTCGTTCACTCGCGTTCGAGATGATCTCGAGATTATCGACGATACGGTACGGATACACCGCGGCAGAACAAAATGGCGGTAGAAAATCGCAGCGAAGAGCACAGTGAACCGGCATATTGGAAATCTTGAAACCGCAAAACCTCCAAAAGTGGAAAATCCGCTTTGTTTCACGTCGGTGGTGATGGCGGCACAGAGAGAGAGAGAGAGAGAGAGAGAGAGAAAGAGAGAGGTCGCGCGCGCGGTCGAAAGTATAGCGTATCGGGACACAAAAACGCATCGGCACGCTCCAAGTGTTCCATAGAACCGTAAGAAATATTTTTCCAAAGGATTTCATCCGCTGGGTGGGAGTTTGCGCATTATTTCTCGGCTTTCTGCCGTCACTGCGAAGGAGAGTAGAAGAAGAAGGGAACAGAGAGTGAGGGCAGCGAGCGGGAGAGACAGGGAGAGAGAATTTTATCCGAGAGTCAGTCATGTGCAACAAAGGGGTATTGATATGGACCGTGGTCGTGAAACGGGCCAATAGCTGTGGCCGCCATTGTCACCCGCGGCCAGATCTATACCGAAGATATCTGCTGCAT